TTTTTTTTTTTTTTTGCTGTTAACATCTGCTCAGTCATATTATTTAATTGAAAAAAAAAAAATTTTGGTCATTAATTTTTGAACTTACATCCACTTACCATAATGTAATGTTGTGGTACTTATCTGAAAATGTTAAAATTAAGTTTCAACCATGAGAATGTATTAGTGTAAGAAAATAAATCACAGCTCTGTTAGTTTCTTACATGGAAGACGTGCTTGAAAATAGATTAATAGCTTAAAATATTTAATATTTAAGGTTAATTTAATTTTTAAATGGCATGTATGGGTATTTTTCACTAATGACTGAATAGAATTGTTAACTACAATGACCATGATGCATTGCGCGCCACGCACGTTGCTTTGTCAACAGATACGCTAGAGTTTAAAGGTCACAGAGCGACACCGGTTAGCCGACGACAGTCAATGAAGGTAAATCACTCAGCTGTTCTGTGATTCTCTGAAAATCCATCATTAGTCACAGTTATTAACTCAGACATCATGCAATAAAACGGTGGCGGTTATTTTGTTATATTCTCTCTGTGTGTTACGCAAGCGCTTGTGTAACAAACAGTATTTGTGATGAGCTGACCGTGTCTTTCACTACACCCCCGACTGATGTTATGAATGAAACCGGTTCACTCGTGCTTCGATTTCCTTTGTTTAAACTGTGTAGTGGTGGTGTTTCATTTAACTCATTCATAAATTTGATAAATATCTAAATATTGCTTAGTTTTCATAACCATCTCACATGGTCAAAACCAATGACGCCACAGCCTTGGTACCACGCCCCCAATACTTTAACGGCAGCAAATTAATTTAATCAAAGTAATAAACACGTTATTGGTGATTACTATGTATTGTTTACTATTATTTTTGAAAATATATTAGTATATCATTAATGGTTTATTTGTGGTTTACATACTGTGTGTGGGAAGGCATATGGCATGAGTCATTATGATCAATTAAATAATCAGTTATTAAAGTATAACATTGATTTGAGTGTGTTTTTTTAATTAAGCTGATGTTTTGAGTATATTTACTACAGGGGCAGCTGCTCAGTGATGATGTTGATGGATGTCTGTCTTTTTGCAGTTCCTCACATGGCTGTTCGACTACTGAAGGTATCATCTGTCGCCACTGCAGTGTTCGCGTCGTCAGGATTTTACTTGTACAGCAAAAATGCGGACTTCAATGATCTCAGCATCATCAGATTTGGGAGGGCAGCTGCGACAGTAAATATGATTTTTTTTTCATTTAATGCTTTGAATCTATTAAACATTTAATCCCTTTGAAAACTTTTAAATAATAATTATTACTTTTATATTAAATAATTTATTAAATATTAAATTTATATTAAATACTTTTAAATAATCATGTGTTTGAATCACAGCAAGTAAATTACTTTAAAAATATCTAAAGTAAAATGCAAATACAGCATATTTTAAATGTATTGTCCTGTCCAGTGTTCAGATTTTTATTCAGTTTTTTTCTTTTTCTCTGAAATGTACCATGGTAAAACCATTGTATCTGTTGCAGTACTCTGGAGTACCATGCTAGTTCCATAGTAAATAAACAATGTAATAATTTAGTTCCATAGTACTAAAATCATATTAAGATATGATTTTACCATCTGACACATCGATGTCACGTGGTACACAAGATCACTTTTATTTAAGAGTATTTTACATTTTTTGATTTTCACAGTATGTTAGTGTTTTTGAGTGATAACTTGAATTGGTGAATCAGAGTTATGATGAATTGACTTACAGAAATGAACAGTTTGATTTTTAAATAAATACTACTTTTATATAAATAAAATACTTTTAAAAACTATTGCGTTTGAGTCGCAGTGAGTGAAGTGAATTACTTTAAAAAAACATTTTAAAAAATGCAAATACAGTGTATTTTAAATGTCTTGTTCTGTGTCCAGTGTGCAGATTTTTATTCACAGTTTTCTTTGTCTCTGAAATGAATGTTTTCAGACGGCTG